TGCATTTCACACAATTTCCATGATAATGCTATAATTTCAAACACTCTGAGTCAAAGATCTAATAAAGGAGGTTAGACTTGCTTTCTCAATTTGCTGCACAGATTGCTCATCTCTCTCTCCCCATCAATCTTCCTTCTCCTAAGCAAAATGTAAAATTTGGAACAAAGGGTGGAAATACCAAGGTTTTGACTGATCTTATTAACATTATCCTGCTGTTCGCCAACAACATCGTAAGCATTTGCGTTCTGGTTCTAAGCATGTATATGGAAAAAAATCCTCCAGTCACTTTGAACCTTCTGAGATTTGGGGAGCAAATGGGGTAAATTATCCAATGATGCTTATCATGCCTCCAAACCTTCACTGAAGTCATTTAGTGTTGATTGCCTTGATTAATGACTAAATGTTTGATAAACTATATTTAAAACTGATGGCTAGAACATCTGCCTTCCCGTACTGGTGTGAAGGAGAATGTATATATTTGTAATGGCCTTCAGGGCACCACGAAGCCCATGATGGGTCCAGGCCCAGTGAGATGGGGGCCCTCCCAACACTGCTGAAGCCCAGCTGAATGATTCCCTGGATGAGCCACAGCATGGACCTTATCATGAACACCATGAGGTTTGAACAGTGCCTGGAGAAGGGTGACGGAGAAATCAGAGATGATTCGTGCCTCCTTCCTCTCAGTCTTGGTCAGGCACTACCACTTTGCAGGCCGGTCCCTCACTCTCCTTCACTCTGGGGGCTCCAGGGTTGTTCCTGGCTCTCACTAATGTGGTCAGGAAGCACTGTGGGAGTTGAGCTGCTCGAGACAGGAAGACTGAATAGGGCAGGAGGTGAGCAGGCCCAGGGAAAGGCAGACCTGGTTTCTGTTGGCCAAACCAAGTGAACAGACCCAGTTCAAGATAGTGTTCTGGTCGTCTATTGCTATGTAACAAACTACCCCCAAATCTGGTGGGAGGCAGGATAGGTTCCCAAGGAAGCAGACTTTGAGATGGAGAAGAGTGTGCAAGATGTTTATTAAGAACTGCCGTTAGGATCAAGACATGGAACGGAGGGGAAGGAGCAATTGTGTGCAGAAGAGGCCGTGCTGCCTTGCAGCTCAGTGACAGCCCCAGCTGGCCCAGCAGAAAGTTCTGAAGGATGCTTAGAGTTGCCCCAGGTTGAGATGACCTGACCTTTATGTCAGGGTAGGCAAACTATAGCCTGTGAGCCAAATCCAAGTGGCCACCTATTTTTATAAATAAAGTTTTATCGGAACACAGCCACACCCCTTCATTTACATATTGTCTGAGGCTGCTCTCACCTTACTCGGGCAGAGTTGAGTAGTTGTGGCCGAGCTCTACGGCCCCCAAAACCTGAAATCTTTATATCTAGCCCTTCATAGAAGTTTGTTCAGCCCAGCTTTATGTTCCTATGCTCAGCAGCCCCTGGGCATGACCTTGGGCAGCAGCTTGCCGCAGAGGCAAGCTCTGGTGTCCCTGCAGTAGTCAGCTAGCAGGTCCTTCCTCCACGGGGAGCATGGGTGGTGCTCACCGTGTCCACCAAAGCAGATTGAAATGACCATTTTATTTTGCACACGATTTTATGAGTCAGGAGTTCTAGAAGGGCTCAGATGGAGAGTCTGACTTCCATGGCATCAGCTGGCCTGGAGGATCCACTTCCAAGATGTCTTCCTTGCTTAATGCTCCTCGGCTTTCTCTGTTTATGGGGCGTCCCATCTTCCAGGGTTTCTTCTTACCGCATGAGGTAGTTTTTGGATCATCACACTTCTTCGTGAGGGCTTCAGCATATGGTAGCCACAGGCCTACGAAGACCCACACTGAAGCTGGCGCGGAGTCACTGCTGTGTCATGGGTCAGAGCGGCCGCAGGATCTGCTGAGATTCAAGGTGGCGGAGCCCCAGAAGCATGATCACAGCTCAGGAGAGCGTGCGGCAGGGCATGCTGCGGCGCCATCCTCGGACAATACGGAATGCCTCAGCGGGCCGGTAGCTGGCTTCTCCAGGTCCCAGAGCTCTTCGTGCCTCCCAACCCCGCGGTCACCATCATCCCGGGGGTGGCTTGAAATGGCCATGAGCGGAACAGGACACCTTGGGAATGGAATGGACTGGGCCTTGTCCCCACCCCCAACCCCAGAGAGCTCATTGTTACACGTGGACCAGCACACCGCTGCCGCCGTGGGAGGGCTTTCAGTTTGAAACCAGATGAGAAGAAAAACAGTATTTATTGAGCGCCAAGGGCTCTCCATGCCCTGGCCCCTCGGAACAACTCTGTGGTGTGCGATTGTCCCTTATTTTACAGAAGAGCAGTCCCAGGCTCAGCAAGGTTGGGTCATGGGGCAGGATTTGAACTGGGGTCTCCTCGGCCCCTGCTGTCCTGCCCCACAGAGCCTAGAGCCCTCAGGAGAAGGAAACGGGTTGCTCTTCACTGACCCAAAGGAAGCTCACGTCCAATGTGAGGTGGGGAAAGCTTCCTAAGAGCAAAGGAACAAAGGCCTGGCCTGGAGCCTCAGTGGGACCCAGGCCCCGGCCCTGCACTGCGGTTTTGAGTACTAGCAGGTTCACCCCATCTCCAGGCATCCAACCCCCAGCCACTTCTCACTGTCAGGAAATTTCCGATGTGTCCAGAGGCACAAGTGGTCTGTGTGAGCGAGTGGGAGTGGGGACGCCCCTGAAGGCGGGACAGGGCGAGGCAAGGCTGGGCCGGCCCTCACCGTCCCAGTAGCACCCCCTTCCCGGGGGCACAGTGGTTGGGCCAGACAATGGACTTGAGGGGCCGGGAGAGGGGAGAAGCAGGACGGGAAGGGGGTTTTCATGTTGGACCCCTAGGGCAGGTGGCATGGCATTTGACAGGAACGGTGGTGACCCTCCTTCAAATGGCACCGATTCCGCTTACAATGACCTCAGCCTCCTGCCGGACTCGCTAGCTTCTTCATGTATATTACCTTCCGTTGGTCAAATCCTCAAAGGACTAAGTCCTATGATACCTGTCTGGTGAGAAAATGAGGCCCAGACTGAAGGAGTAAGCTTCCAGCTGCAGAGTTAAGATGTGTACCTGGTGCACCAACTCTGGACCTTACCCCACCCCGCGGCCCACGGCGCGAGAGATAAGGAAGCACCTAGATGATAGAGCATCATTCTCAAAATTACTTGGTTCATCATTTCCCATTTTTCCCTCTCTTTCCCCCCCTGGAGTTGAAGGAATCCCTCTCCCTGTTTTGTTGGTTTTAAGAGGAATAAGAAGATAGAAGAGTGAGGAGTGGCGGGCACCCAGTGCAGAATGCATGGCCAAGGGCTCCGTGGAGAGGGGAGGGCAGCAGGGCCCCAGGGTATAGGCAGGGAGGCCCCTACTGTGGGAGTGTCAGTGCCACCTGTAGACCTCTGCAATGCAGGCGGGGCTCCTGGCCTTCATGGCTGGCTCAGGCTCTGGGGCCCGTGGCAGATCTGTATGAGTCCTCTGCTCGGGTCCCAGGAGTCACCTCGCCTTCCAGATAAACATCCAAATGCTAAATATCAGAGGGATGCCGTGCATCAGGAGAATGCAGTTAAAACTTCGAAAAATGGTCCTCACTTTTGAGTGTGCTAAGGAATCACCTGGGGCACTGGTTAGATATTCTGCGTTTCTCGGTCCCCACTCTCGGAAACTCTCAGGCAGCAGGCTGGAATGAAGGTCCAGAATCTGCATTTTTAAAAGACCCCAAGCAATCCTGATGCTAGTGGACCTGGGGCCAGGCTAAGAAAAACAACTTAGAGAGTGAAGGGGCAGGATCTGACCCCTTTCTTGAAGACGTTGGCTTTCTTGTCATTAGAGTTTAATCTCATAAGTACCGGTTTTCTTTTCTGGATGTGGAAGTGGTAGGTATGTTTATGGAGCTGTCTTGCCAAAAGAAAGATAATGAACACAGCATTTATGTGCATAATTGCAGTTAATTATTATGTTGTGAATGTACGGTTAAACTTGAGAAAAGATGAACTTATAAAAACTCTTATTAAAAGTTCCCTGTTATTTGCCATTAATTACTGCTGTGGATTTCTTCAGGGAGTTTGTTTGCTTATCCACCGGCTAACAGAGTTTTGAGCTCTTGCTGTGTGGCTGGCACTGTGTGAGCCCCAGGGGACAGCCGTGGGCTGACCTCTGTCCATCAGGGGTTTACAGTCTGGCCAGGGAGACTGACTCATAAATCCCTAAACAACCCTCGTGCATTTCAAATTTGTGTATGTTTATTCTTACTAAGGAAGGTATTAGTTAAATTCATTACTAAATGTGATTTTTTATAAATGTATAAGGGTTTATATGTAAACAGATACAACACAACAATAAGAAAACCCTTGTAGGCCATATGTTGTGATTTGGGGCTTAAAAGAATTGATTAGTTCACAGATTATGAACTTTCCAGGCACTCTCTGACTGCATGAAGAAGATATGTTCTATAAATTCTGCACAAAGTTGGCTTATCATTTTGTTTTGATTTTTTATTTTTTTTAAGATTTTATTTGTTTATTTGAGAGAGAGAGAATGAGAGAGAGAGAGCACGAGAGGGAAGAGGGTCAGAGGGAGAAGCAGACTCCCCACCGAGCAGGGAGCCCGATGTGGGACTCGATCCTGGGACTCCAGGATCATGACCTGAGCCGAAGGCAGTCGCTCAACCAACTGAGCCACCAGGCGCCCTTGTTTTGTTTTTAAATCAGTGAGTTAAGACTTCACCTGTATGTATGTGTAAGCAAGATGTTTTAAAGATACATTCCTTCCCCCATCACACCTCTGCTCCCTGCCCTCACCTGTGAACGTAGCACACGAGGAGGTTGGTACCCAGGTGCTTTCCGGCACAAATGTACCTAAAGGCAGAATTCCCATCTAGTGGTGAGAAACATGGAGAATTCTGATTCCTTGCTTAGTTCCGTCTTGTTCTTATGCCGTTCTCTTGCCTGAAATTTGAGCACACCAGTGGTCTACACAAGGGAAACCAAACTGTCCCCAGTAACCTCTGCTTCCTGGTTTTCAGAGTTGCAGGCGGCGAGCTGTTTGACTTCTTGGCTGAAAAGGAATCTCTGACTGAAGAGGAAGCAACCGAGTTTCTCAAACAAATTCTTAATGGTGTTTACTACCTGCACTCCCTTCAGATTGCCCATTTTGATCTTAAGGTATGTTTTGCTGAGTGTAAGCTGGAGAGAAGATTATGCAAATCACAGCATTGGTTGGTTGTTTGTTAAGAAAAATTGAGGCAGCTGAAAGACATACATTTTTCTTTTTATCCTGTATGGGTGTAACAGATGGAATTAGGAAGATAAATCAGCAGGTATATAGTGCATACCTACTCAAGGATTCCGAACCTTTTGTGGGATAGATCCTGAAGATGAATGATTACATTCAAGAATCCTTGGGGAAGAATCAAAGGGTTTTACCAGATGGCTCTCTAAGCAAGGGGGCTGCTGTTGGTTATAGGGTGTTTTCAGCCTAGAGTGGCCACTGGCTGCCCAGTTTCCAGCCCCTGTAGCTGTAGGGCATGTAAGGAAGAAGATGTCTTGATCTCTCCTCTCCCTCTTGATGCAAACGCCTGACTCTGTCACCGGCAATCGATCAAGACAAACTCTGAGATTGGCTAATTGGGGTCTCTGCCTGTCTGGAAGCAAAGCAGTGTGGGAGATAAAAAGGCATGTCATACTTGTAACTGTCAGAGAAGTTGTGGCCTCTTTAGGAAGGGAAGGCATATACATATACACAAGCAACATGCAAAGATGATACAAGATTCAAGATATAATCCAAGGTACTGAGAAGTGATCACAAAGCAGCGTATGATCAATTGTCAAGTGAATGATTCAGATCATTGGTGCTAGGATGAGACTTCAGAGGAGGGAGGACTTTCTCCATATTTATGGTAGCAGAGCTGTCGAGACCCCATCCAGATCCCCCCCATACTCACTAACATTACACACTTGTGGCTCTCTGCCTGACATCTGGTTTCTGGGCCTGGGAGCTGCAGATGCCAGAGGAAATGCCCACAGAAGCCACTCTTAGCAATGGAGGATGGGGAGATGGTGGATAAATATCCCGACTCCCTCCTGCTTCAGTTGGAAAACTCAGGGCTACTCCTCCTGACGTTCCCCAAAGCGATTGCCCTCCAGTCACCCCCACCTTGACAAGACACCTTGTGTGGGTTTCCTTCCTTCTGCTTCCTGTCTCCCCATCCTCTATGAAGTATTCCCTAGAGGCCCCTCCCACATAAGCCACTTGCACCTGAATCCCTGTCACGGGTCTGCTCCTGGGAGAACCTAAACCAAGACATTTCTTTTTCCTGGTGTTCTCTTGCAACTACCCTTTCATCCCTAGTTTTGGTGGGTTTTTTTCAGGGGAGAACAATTCTGCCACTTTGTCTTCAGCATAATACATTATAGCACTTTTTTTTTTATTGTGGTAAACATAGCATTAAAATAACCATTTTAATACAGTTCTGTGGCGTTAAGTATATCCACACGTTAAGTATATCCACACCTTTGTACAACCATCACCACAGTCCATCTCTAGAATGAACTGATCTTCCCAAACTGAAACTCTGTATCCATTAAACCCTAGCTCTTCATCCCTCCTCCCGCAGCTGATAGCAACCACATTTCTACTTTCTGTCCCTATGGATTTGCCTATCCTAGGTCCTTCTGATAAGTGAAATCATAGTATTTGTCCTTTTTTGTCTGACTTACTTCAGTTAGCAGAATGTTTCCAACGTACATCCATGTTATAGCATGTGTCAGAATTTACTTCCTTTCTGTGGCTAAATAATATTCTAATATAGGTGTGTGTGTGTGTTGTGTGTGTGCGCGCGCGTGTGTACATATATACATATATACCACCTTTTGTTTATCCACTGATCAGTTGATGGACATTAGGTTGTTTCCACCTTTTGGTTATATGAATACACTGTTGTGAACACTGGTGTACTATTTCTCTCTCTCTCTTTTTTTTTTTCTAAGCCCGAAAACATAATGCTTTTGGATAGAAATGTCCCTAAACCTCGAATCAAGATCATTGATTTTGGGTTGGCCCATAAAATTGACTTTGGAAATGAATTCAAAAACATATTTGGGACACCAGAGTTTGTTGGTAAGTTTTTTTTACTCCTGTGCTCATTTATTTCTCATAAATATAATGAATTATACTGACAGAATGTTCCCTGCTGTAACATCATCTGTTTTCCTGGTACATATTTCTAGTTTATACCTGATGATAGAATCTGTTGACTCACTTTCTTTCAAAACTAAGCATGTGTTTATTTCCTCTTAGCTCCTGAGATAGTCAACTATGAACCTCTTGGTCTTGAGGCAGATATGTGGTAAGGAGCATGCCCTTGATGCTGTCATCTTTCTGATTTACTTTACTATTCTTCTGACATTTGCTTCTGGTTTTGTTTTTGTGTCTAGGAGTATTGGGGTAATAACCTATATTCTGTAAGTATCAAAATCCATGTCTCATATTCTTTTCCTCTTTCTTTGAGACCATATGTCTTATTAACCATCTATGTGTCATGTTGATCTCTTCAGTTTATGCATGCTTTTTATGTAAACATATTCATTCTACACCCCCAGAACACGTTTAGTTTATACTAATTAAACATGTTCTTCTAATTCCCAGTGAGTCATCAGAAACTGCCGCATAATCGCTGAAAGCAAGCATGGCTATCCATCACTGCTGAGAAAATAGGAAAGGGGTGTTTTTTTAACTACTAGATGCTGTTCCAAATTAACTTTTTAAATGCATCCTAGGCATTAAGCTGGAGCTTTTCTGCATGACAGTTAAATGCCTTATAAAATATAATTGGATTCTGAACTAACTGCCCAAGCACCAGATTATAATCTGATGCCTCACTCCCCTTATTAGCTATTATAGGAATTACATGACAACCCAGGAGGTAATTATTCACATTCTGCACCCCACTTTATTAACAGCCTAAGTGGGGCCTCCCCATTTCTTGGAGACACTAAGCAAGAAACGTTAGCAAACGTATCGGCCGTCAACTATGAATTTGAGGAAGAATACTTCAGTAATACCAGTGCCCTAGCCAAAGATTTCATAAGAAGACTCCTTGTCAAGGATCCAAAGTGAGTGTCCCTTATTCCTGAAGGGTTCCCGGCTGTGGCTTCAGCTGGACCAGGAGCGGTACCTGGATTGTGCATGCAGCCACATTTACGAGAGCCTGGTTGGTTCTGTGTGGCAAGTGAAAGCATGCCATGCGGAATGCTTCAGAAAATGCAGGCAGGGCCCTTTAGACCTGCTCAGTCAGTCCCTGCAGATACAGTAAAATAGTCCCAGAAAGACCAACGTTCTTTCCGGCTTTCTTCCATGAAGCAGGCCCTGAACTGCATTTTCCAGAGCATCTGCTTAGTAGGCCCAGCGGGCATGGAAACAACCTTAGTGTTTGCTTCTATGGTCACAGCATTTTTTTTCTTTCCCCTCCCCCTACAAAGGAAGAGAATGACAATTCAAGATAGTTTGCAGCATCCCTGGATCAAGGTAAGTTGCCTGTTGTGATTGGTTTGGTATTATAGGGCATCCTGGAATGCATTTGCCCTAGGGTATTACTAGTTACCATGGGGTCTCACCACAGATCACGTCTGCAGTATTGTTTTTGATATTGGTGCTGTATTTTAAGACGGCTGACAGATGAGAGTATCCTAATGGTCATGGAGGTGGAGAAGAGTGAGCTGTCACAATGCAGGATTCTAAACGGGGAGTTGAAGGTCAAGTCTACTCAACAGCTATTTTTGGTTTGACCTGTCGGATGGTGGCCTGGAGAATATTTTAAATTTTTTGGAATTGATTTCCAGCATAAATATCATATCAATCCTGGATTTCCAGTGTCTGTTGTAAAATCTGAAGGTCTACCAATACTGAGCCCTCATTCCGTAAGGCTTCCAAACCCTGCATAGCTGCCTAGGTGCCTGAGCCTGTGGCCGCCCCCTGGCATATTATATACCTCTGCATTCCCTGAGACACCCATTGGCATTTGGGTTAAAGAACTGAAGTTGGTTCAGCTCGAGCAGAAAGGACTGAGGATGGGGAATATGGCAGTTACAGAATAAAATCATGAAACTGGTAAGGGGATTGCAGTGTAACAACTTGCATTGCTGAAGTAGGTTTTGGGCATCCAGAGAGTTCTGCTGTGTGAGCTCCTAGCAGTTGCCTGGGCTCCCTGAGGAGGCAATAGTGTCTCCTTCTCTTGGCAGTAGAGCTAATGGCCTCCTAAAAAGATGCAGTACAGGGGATTCTAATGCTGTCAGACAGGCCAGATTTGCTAACCTCTGAGTCCCCTACCCACTCTAAATTACTTGATGATGTTAAGTTCACATGCCTCATCACATGAATCTTGCCATTCCCAAACTCTCAGTGTGGGAAGTTGACATTCAGCCTGGTCCAAGCTCAACTCTTCAACTTTTCCCAAGATCCAGTCTTTATGGATTTTATCAAACCCTTAGCCACAAGAGTTGACCTCCGGAGACTAGGTTCCTAGCTCTTGCATATTATCCCAACTTGTTTTGTTGTTTTGGTCAGGTGAGTCTGTGTGCATCCCAAATAATTAGAGGTTTCCAGAAGTTGTCATGGCACACATTTCCATCATTTGAGTGCTCTAAATTTGCTTTCTTGGACTTTGATTGTAGCCTAAAGATACCCAGCAAGCACTTAGTAGAAAGGCGTCGGCAGTCAACATGGAGAAGTTCAAGAAGTTCGCAGCCCGGAAAAAGTGGAAAGTAAGAGTGTTTGACAGGGAAGGATTAACTAATTTCTTTCCTCTGCGGCACTGCCTCTGGCCAGTCTCATCTCTTCTGATACTGGCCATACAAAAGTGCATCCTTTTTTGGTCTGTTTAAATTTACTCTATAGTTTTCTGCACTGTTAGGCTAGTTTCAAAAGATAAGCAAAAATAATATTTCAATCCTCTTTAACTCTGATTTTCATATGTAATTTTGAATTTTTTTAAAAAATCAAAACCATTCCCAAGGCAAATTTTTAAATCAGCACAACAAAATTATAGTGCAGTCTTTTCCTAAATGCAACAAGCCGCATTTTAAATAAATCTGTTCTTCGTGGTAAGCAGCATGGAATTGTGTTTATAGCAGAACTTGTGTAAATCCAGCCTTGGTCTGTGAATGGTGGAGATGGGAGTGGGGCAGGGCCATGAGCATTTGCAGTGTGGTCTGTTGTACTTTTTCAGTGTGGATGGCCTCTGCAGGGGCTGTGTGGGGCATGGCTCTAAAAGGCATTCCAGTCAAAAAAATAAAAAAAATAAAATGCATTCCAGTCAACCTTGAACAAATAAAAATTCAAGGTTAACAAGGTGACAGGATGTCTTCCTATGCCCAGGGTCATGCGAAGCCCAGAAGAAGCAGGTACTTGCCATGTCTCTGAGCATCGGGCCAGAAATGTACCTCATTTTCACACCCATCAGGTTCGGGGTGACGTGAAGGGCTGAGGAGGACCACAACACTAGGTTACTTAAGACTTAACAGTCTGAAGGAAGCCCTGAGAATAGGCTTAAAATGTAGAGAGAACCACCATAAGTTTCTCTCTTTTTTTCTCTCCTTTTCACACACACACACACACACACACACACACACACACACACACACAATTATTTATTGTTGCTGTTGAGAGTAAATGCAGGGGTATTTTTGTCCTGTAGGCTAAGGAGTTCCCCACTGTTTGTTTCCAACAACTGTATGAATTTTGATAGTCACAGTGCTACCATTACCAGCTTGCCTGGCCACAAGGACACAGGACAAGACCCTTGCATACCATGCTTCTCTGAGTGGGGATGTGCAAGGGGTTTGTTAGGGTAAGATTCCACTGCTCAGAAAGTAGAGAGGAACATATTAAGAGAAGGGATGAAGGCTATGCAATTGTGTAGTTAATAATGAAATGTGGAAGGAGAATCTCTATCCTGTTGTCTTGACTTAATAAGACTTTAGAAATTTCTTTAAGCAAATATGATCCAACCTGCTTATAGGACCTCCCACCCCTAAAGAACATGCCGTCAGCAGTGAATGCTATCTCAGAGACTTTGCCATTTGCACTAATTTGACTATCCTTATATAAGCGCTCTTTCTTCTTCTCCCCCTCCATCTTATGTTTGTGTTTTTTTGTTTTTTGTTTTTGCCTTTTTTTTAAAGCAATCCGTTCGCTTGATATCACTGTGCCAAAGATTATCCAGGTCGTTCTTGTCCAGAAGTAACATGAGTGTTGCCAGAAGCGATGATACTCTGGTAAGCAAACCTGTTTGCCTTGGTGAGATTCTTTCTTAACACTGTGTATTTCAAATGTTCAGGTTGTTTGATTTGTTCACAACCCAGAAAACTTGAAGTCACGGAAATGTCAAGCCTGTTCTTCCTCCGCTCGAGGGAGGGAGTTGGTGGCTGACTTGATGTACTCTGTTGCTTCTCTTGTTCCTTTTCTCTTTGTTTGTATTGGCACCATACCCACTCCCACCCACTACCTCTAACACTCTCACCCCCCACCCCATCCCTCCCACACTCACAGTTTGAGGAGTGACTGGCCAGCAGAAGAGGAAAGAGTTTATTATAATTTTCATGAATAAAATGAGAGTCCTCTATTGCCACTTACCTTGGAAAATACTGGGTCGTAATAGTACAAAATGGGCAGGCACTCCTCCTGCCAACACACACACACACACACATACACACACACACACACACACACACACACACCCAAAAATTAGGGCAAATACCGTGGGGCTTGCCGGGGGAGTCTGTGGTAGACCAGACAGCTAAACCCACTTCCTCTGTTGACATTGTATTGTATGTGTAACACCCTGAGAACAACTCCATAATTTTTTTCCCTTGATCCACACTGAAACCTAATCACAGATTAATTCAGATATGACTGGACACATCTGAACTCACTAAGACTCTCCCCTGACAGACAACAGGGCTTTGGGAGCCGCGGAGGTAGAGGGAACTTCAGAGAAGGCAAAAAGGGTGGTTCTGTGAGAACCAGCCTGCTCCCGTGACTCCTACATAGTGAGTTTTTCCCAAGCGGCTCCAGGGACTCCATGGGCAGGATCTCACATCAGCAGACACCAGCTCTTCTTTTCCCCCTGACACTAGTTGCTTCACTGAGACTCCAGGCATAGCCTTGTAGAGTAAAAAGAGATAGGAAGTGTTAAGAAGAAAATAGGAGTGGGAGAAAAGCAAGGTCGGAGAAGGAGGGGGTGGAAGAGAAAGTTCGGGTTTGGGAATTGTTTGAGGGTAACAGTGGAACCAGGGACAAGACAAAAACTATTAATCTAAGTAAGATGAGAACAACTAAATGTTATAAATTAAAGTCATCTTGAATAATCACTTAGGGGAAAATCTAAGTGTTGAATGCAAAGTTTAGGGTAGGAGAGGGCTTTGGGGTGTGGGGGGCTCCAGGTGGGATGACCCCTCCCTCAACTCAGGTTCCCTCATTGTCCTGGTGTCCTGTGGTAACAATCTGCTTCTTCTTCCCATTCACCCCATTTCTCTGGACTGTCACTTTCATGCAAATGTCTCTTAGTCATCAACTTGAATTGTGATGGAAAAGCAAAACCAGTGACATTCTTAACATGGGCTCTGTATGAATATTATTAAAACCCTCATGAAGTTTGTCTGGATTCAGATCCATAGAGAAGAGAAAGCAGAGTGCAGAGAAATGCTTTCTCCATTCTGCCCCCAAAGCAGAGACTCAGCCTCTGTAGATATGCTTTTCCAGATTTGAAATATTAGAAGCCATACCCCTGTAAGTGCAGAGATTTTGTTTGGGATTTTTCTGGCTTATTCCTTAGTTTTAATGTGCAGTATTTGGTAAATATCTTATTATTATAAGAAAACTTTGACAAAGTGTCAAAGATTTAACTAAGTTGTTAATATTCTCTAGCTATTTTCTCTTTGTCATGAGAAATGCATCTGTTTCCTTTTTCTGGCCTTTATTCTCATACTTCTTCCCCTCTAGGGTCTTTATATATATGTGTGTGTTAGTTGTGACCAGGTTTCAGAGAATGCCATGTGATTCTATACCTAGAGAAGAAAGAAATTCCTGTGATTAGAAAATAACAATTCTATAAATGAATGAATTACAAATTAAGAATATAGAATTCAGGGGCGCCTGGCTGGCTCAGTCAGTAGAGTGTATGGCTCTTGATCTTGGGGTTGTGAGTTGGAGCCCCACATTGGGGGTAGAGCCTACTTAAAAATAAACTAAAATCTTAAAAAAAAAAAAAAAGACTGTAGAAATCAGAGGTATCATTTCCTTGGTTCTATGGTTTTTAAGAGTGTGGGTTATGCCTGCTATATTCTACATGGTTTGGGGGCTATATATTTTGAAAGACTGCTAAGATATACACAGAGGGTAGTTGGTTATCAGTCGTTCTAAATCTGAGTCTTGAAAGCTGTGTGCTGTGTGGGTTATAATGCAAGTGACATGAAGGCAAGTAAACTGAAGGTGGTGTTAGTTTCCAACATGGCAGGAGCCAAAAGAAACCTCCTGCTTCCCTTCATGACCAAGTGGATTTGGGGAGGAAGTGGCTTACTTTCCTCTGAATGCTTCTCTTGACAGATGAGCATTGATTTCTCTCTTATGTCAATAAGAGGATCATGGCCAGCGAGCTAACTCTTTTTTCCTCTTCACGGTCCCTCTCAAGGATGAGGAGGACTCCTTTGTGATGAAAGCCATCATCCATGCCATCAATGACGACAACGTCCCGGGCCTGCAGCACCTCCTGGGCTCATTGTCCAGCTACGACGTTAACCAACCCAACAAGGTCTGATGCTGTTCTAACAGGGGGAGGGGCGGGGGTGTCCCTGTGACCGCACACCTCCAAGTCCGAGGTGGAGATGATCCCTCTACTTCTCTATTCCCCCTGGCTGTTACAAATGCCAGCCTGTGGGGAAATCACTTCTGTGTTGAGAGTGAATTGAGTTAGAAATGAGGTCAAGGGCACTGAGGGCCTTTCTTCATGCCCCCCCAATGCACCTCTAATCATGACATTGTAAATGTGCTCCTCCTACAAAGGCACATGTCACCTTTGACTGTGAATCCAGCAGAGAAGGGCTGTGTATTCTCCTGGCTCTCCCCATTCCGTGATGCAGCAGAGATGTGTGTCTGGCGAGCATAGGAAGCTGTGTGGTGTGGGACCCCAGTGATAGTTGCTTTCCCTTTCCCACCAAACTTGAAACAAATTTTCTTTCTTGCCTCTTCCAGCATGGGACGCCTCCGTTACTGATCGCTGCTGGCTGTGGGAATATTCAAATACTACAGTTGCTCATTAAAAGAGGCTCAAGAATCGATGTCCAGGATAAGGTCCGAATTTTGTTTTATTGCCACGGAATTAGCTTTTAAGTATTTCCAACTGTTTCTTTATGTTAGAGGTAACAGAGAAGAATAACATGGGCCCCTGACTTCATTTCTCCATTTCCTATAAAGGAGGATGAAGTGCCTAACAGGCTGGTCCAATCTAACCTGTGTTATAAAGAAAAAGGCAAACACTTCCCTTCCCCTTGGCTCTGTTGCTGGGCATCAACCTTGTGCACTACCCCAGATTCACTCCTGACTAATCATGTTTACTCAACAGCGGTTTTAGATGTCACATTTGGCAAAATTTTCATCACCTAATTAATCTCATCAGAAATAATTTGCCTCCATGTTTATTAGGGCAACAAAGTAAGGACAGTACATACGCTTTGAGGTATAGGTCATTTTGGAAGGATAGACACAATTGTTTAACAGCGAATAGTCATTACAGTGGGTCTGCCATCAGCTTCTGTAGGTTTTCAACAAAACTGTAAGTGGACTGGATCTGATTCTTAAGCAAGTTCTAACCAGAAATTGAAACGAAGGTTTTAAGAAAAGAAAAACGTCATTTTGAAATAATTCTAGATTTACCAAGAAAGTTGCAAAGATAGGACAGAGAGCTTCCCAGATTGTTAACATCTTATGTAACCTTGGTCTTTTTGGCAAAACTAAAAAATAAAACGGGAGTTTATTCCTTTTGGAAGTTGCTCTTTTGAAGTTGCTGTCACCTGCGAAGGAAAATAGAGTGAGTCTGAGTGATGCATGCATTTGGATCTGGAAATGTGACTCCACGTTGGCTTTTATGCAGGGCGGATCCAATGCCATCTACTGGGCCTCTCGGCATGGCCACGTCGATACCCTGAAATTTCTCAATGAGAACAAGTGCCCTTTGGATGTTAAAGACAAGGTAAGGCCACTTCTTTTCTTAGGGACCGTGGGAAGTGATAAGAGGCTGCATATGAGTGTTGACCTGCCATATGCATCAGGACCCAAAGCAGAAGGGCTCATGATCAAAATCTTCCTGCAGAGAATTTAATTTAGAAGTTTCTTTCTGCTGCTGGCTTGGTCTAATATTAAAATCTGCAGTTAGCTGAAATCTGCCAGGTAGTTGGCATAATATGCAAGCAGTGAATTTTCTTCCCCCTGACATGGAAACTCAAGGTTCTGCTAGACAGATGACCAGAAACAGACCTGAGTCCTGATTCTTTTATTGAATTGCCGTGTGTACGTACCTTTCTCCTCTTCCTCCTCTCTGAAGTAGCTGCCAGTGCGGGTCTTACAAGCACGGGCACTAGAAGGATTCACGAGACTGCCTGGAAAATAAGGTTTTTGGGAGCAAAGATATAAAAATTATTGATTTAGCAAGATAACCTTACTTTCATATATCTGTTATTTCATTCGGTTCACACAACAGTCCTGTGAGTTCATTGGCAGGGCTGGAACACACACCTAGCATTCGTACCTCCTCATCCATTATGCATTCTACTGTGCAACCCCGCTCCGCTCCTGATACTTGTAGACTGGTTTGTCATGTTCAGTCAGGACTGCTGCATACAGTTGTATGGACTGTGCACTGCTCTATATCTAAGGGATGATGCTCACGTCAAAGACACACACATACACACACATACACACATATATATTATGGCAGTTTTGGGCCAGGTAGCATCAAATACCTTGTTTTAAATCCGTTTATACTCACAAGTTTTGGGCAGATATAAGTAAAATATCCTGAGGAAATTGCACGTATTACAGATTCACAGAATGCGATTGTGGGCTAACAGTGATGTTTTTTAGAATCTCTGAGAATGTAAGAAATAACATGCTAAACATAGACAGTGAAATCAGAAACTTGCTCATAAATAAAACTGTTTAAATAACGTACTATTAAAAAGGGAGTTTTGTGTTTTTTAAAAAGAAATCACATGGCTATGAGCATCAATATATAAAGAGGACTGAGAACCGCCATCACAGAAAGGGAAAGCGTTCTCGCTTAGGAGGTTTTGTGACAAACAGGATGAGCTATGTGTGTGGGTTTAACACTAGCTATGTGGGACACATCCTACCCCAGGGTCCTGGGCCCAGTCACCAAAGGGGACTCTGGCCTGAGGGTGGTGGGGGCCCCAAAGGGGAAGACCTGGAGCCAGGCATGCGTGGGATGTGGCCTCCAGTCCTGTGCATTTAGTTTCCACAGTCTGCTGAATTTGGCTCTTTCTTTTACAGTCTGGAGAGACAGCCCTTCATGTGGCAGCTCGTTATGGCCACGCCGATGTGGTTCAGTTATTGTGCAGCTTTGGCTGTAATCCCAATTTCCAGGACAAGGTGGGTCATGGTAGTCGATGTCCTTCCATTTGCTTGCTTGCTGCATGGATGTGCACATAGCTGATTGATATAGTCGGGTCCTTGGGGTTTTCTGCTCTGATTTTAGAGGGCAGCCTCGAACCAGAAAGACTAGCGTTCATTCATTCATTCATTTATTCCTCTGGACAGCCCTACCAGTGGGTTGCTACTGTTATCATCCTCATTTTAGAGAAGAGAAGACTGAGGCACAGAGAGGGTCAGTGACTTGCCCAAGCTCACACAGCTCCTAAATGGTGGAGCCGGGGCTCAAACCCACACAGTCTGGTCCCTGAGTCATGCGTAAGCACTACAATGTAACAACCTCTTGTAGACAGACATACATGTCTAATGATGTTGATGGTGAATATACAGGCCTTACAGTCCTATAGACCTGGCCGCCAGTCCTTCCGGTGACTTGTTAATGCCCGATTATCTCAGCACTTCTTCGCCAGAGCAACAATAAATTATGTGACTCATCTTTATGATACATCCATGACAGACATCTTGAGGGGTTAAGATAGTTGCAGGAATGCTTGCTCGGATAAGTGCTGTCCTACTGTGAGGAGTCTCAGATGAAGTGAATGAAGGCACTTTCACAAGAAAGATGCTAGGAACCTACCCACACCGGGGCTCCCTTGTTCAGATGGGCCGAGCTGATGGTTCCAGGGTGGAAGTCAGTTAGTAACCTGCAGGGAAAACCGAATCTGTCCAACACACAAGTGTGGAAGGCAAGAAGACTAATGAAGGAGAGACGTCAGACCCACATCCATTATTTCAGATGAACATTTTGCTCCAGGGGCCACGAGCTTTCTTCTCCATGCTCCGAGACGTGGCTGCCGATGATGGCTGGAACTCAGCGCAGCGTGTGCGCACTCGCGTGTTGTGTCCGTCTCCTCTATGTGTGTATCTCTTTGGCCAGGAAGAAGAAACCCCCCTGCACTGTGCTGCCTGGCACGGCTATTACTCTGTGGCCAAAGCCCTTTGCGAAGCCGGCTGCAATGTGAACATTAAGAACCGAGAAGGAGAGACGCCCCTCCTAACAGCCTCTGCCCGGGGCTACCACGACATCGTGGAGTGTCTGTCGGAACACGGAGCCGACCTTAATGCCTCCGACAAGGTGCTTTGTGGGGAAACGTATCACACTCCCCGGCAGGTGATCTAGGGGGCTGGCGGGACCACAAGCCTCCTCCAGTAATTTACCTAAAATAACAAACTCGAATGTAGCAAATTACAGTGATCTTTGTCTTCCCTGTTTCAGAAGTTCTTATGGCCTTTTCTAGATCCTGTTTAATAATTAATACTCATTTGGGGTATATAACACTTTACGGTCACATGACTCAGGTGTCTATTTTATGTTTAGCCTTTTTCGCTTTGGAGCAGGTACAGTGAGCCTAAGACTATCTTCAGTTAGGATGAAAATTGGCAACTCACTATTACTTCATAGATAAACAAAGAAATAGGTGGTTTATTTACTTTCATCACCAGCTCTTTTGTAAAAAGACAAAACCCACCTTTATTTGTCTCATCATTGCCATTCTAGACCAGTTGTTCTTTTATTAATGATGCAAATTCAGCATAACCTATTCTTATTGTGAGTTTGTACTTACGTGAGGCTGTGATGTTACTCTGTATAGTCAGATTAGGGACACTACATGTAGTTAAGTTAGCAACTGCCGTTTGTGGAGTATTTTCTTAGTACGGAGAGGTGGTTCTCAATTGGGAGCAAGGTTGCCCCCAGGAGACATTTTGTAATGGCTGAAGACCTTTTTTGGTTGTCACAGCCCGGAGTCCCCACACAGACATGTCCCCAAAAATCTCTCCCCGGCTCAGGGAACTCAACATGTCTGTTCGCCAGGGAATCGGTAACAAGTGGAGGGAATTATCAGGCTGGTCTTTTTGGGATGCCTGGGTTCAGCATGTTATATTTGCCCCTAATATATATGACAGCCCTTGAGCACATCACTTTCCATGTTTTTTTCCTCAGTTTCTCCCAGGGTAAGATAAAAGAATAGTCTTTCTGCTTAGGAAGTTAGTAAAGACTGCTGAGCAAATGTTTTTAAAAGTGGTTTTCAAGTGCTTGATAAAACAGACCATTGAAGTACCAACAATTACTTAAGTTCTATAAAGTCAGGGACAAGAAGAAGTGTTGGCTGTCTCTATCTGATTGTACTGGCCACGCCCAGATTAGTCAGGCTGAGGGTCAGCTTAGTCTGTGGTTATTCAGAGTGGGGTGCATGAAGCCTCTCACCCACCCACCAGGAGGAAAGTCTGTGTTGTAAGCCTCCTTCGGGCTTTGCACTAGCAATGCAGTTACCAATTCATCTTGGCCCAGTGGCGGCTGGAAAGGTGAGCGGCCAGGCCCGCATGCCCAAGGGAAAGTGCTCATGGCCCCTGGTGCTTCTTGCAGGATGGACACATCGCTCTTCATCTTGCCGTGAGACGGTGTCAGATGGAGGTCATCCAGACTCTCATCAGCCAGGGATGTTCTGTCGACTTCCAAGACAGGCACGGCAACACCCCCCTCCACGTGGCCTGCAAAGATGGCAACGTGCCTATTGTGGTGGCCCTCTGTGAAGCCAGCTGCAACTTGGATATCTCCAACAAGGTAATGCCGGCGGGGATCTCTGCAGGGACCAGCATGTGCGTCCACCCACCTGCCCCTGGGTTTGGGCCAGGCTTCTCTTTGGGTCTCGTCGTTGTTCAAAGTCTTTGTTACTCATGGGGACCTATTCCGTCGTATAAGGCTCTCCACTTAACGCTATATTTTACATTTGGCTTTTGAATAACGTCCTGAAGTAACAGAAAATTATTACATTAATAAGTACTTCTACCTAGCCAGGTTGTCGCTTACGAACGTCAAGAGAGGGAGAGAGAAAAAGGGAGTGTGTGTGTGTGTGTGTGTGTGTGTGTGTGTGTGACCTCTTGTAGAGGAATCACAGAACATCGGTCAAATGAGAGCATCTTTCTGGAGCACTAAGTCTTCAGGAAAACACCTCATTGAGAATCTGAGAACCAGATTTCTGTTCTTAGCTTCACCCTTTGAGAGTTTTATGGTCAAGCATTCACAACCCTTTTTTGTGCTAAATAAATTTGGTAAGACCAAGGGAATACTATCATTTGGCAAATAAGGAAATGGAAATAAATAATTACATGCTCCAAAAACCCCAGATGTTGACTTCTAGAAGTTTAGCGAACACCTTCGCTTTTCCCTGAGCACCATCTAGAGTTTCCTTACCAAATAAGACAGAAGAGTTGGGATATTCCTGTGGTTTCAGCCATGTAACTGTATGAAAGGCAAACACTATTCTTTTGTGATTGTGTTAAAAAGAAAGTCCAGGTAGCATTAAATTTTTGAATGTGGGAAGTGTTTGTTTATAAATGGCAGACATGAAGCTAGCAGAATTTTATTATGATTTATTTGAGGTAAGAGAATATCTGAAACAGAAGGAAAATTACACTCCTACAGAAAATTACTCCTCTTGCCTATTATGTGTTTAATTCTAATGAAAATTGAAATTGGCAATCTCCGCATTCTGGAAATTTGAAAACACAACATCGTAGGTCTTAGCCATTAGCTGCCATGCTGGTTGCTTTCTTTGTTTATCCCGTTCTAATCCTGCCAAGTCAGTTAGGTAAGTGGCTTAAAGGGAAAGCCAAATGTAATATTAAGCAGCATCAAGAACTTGGCTTTCCTTCCAGGAGTCTTTAGACAAATAAAGAGTGGCTTCAAGGAACACTGTGGCACTTATTCGAATACCTTTGGAGTTGGCCATAGCATGCACAGCTTGCTACTATGTGCACAGCATTTGAGATGAGCTGTGCCCTGGGAACGTGGAAGGACTCAGGATACTTTGCACTAAGTTAAAGAAAGGAATGGATGTTCACCCCATGCCTAAGTGCAAACAGTGCACTTGCTAAATATGCTCTTTAAAATACCCAGCAAGAGGGGCGCCTGGGTGGCTCAGTCAGTTAAGCAGCCGACTCTGGATTTCGGCTCAGGTCATGATCTCTCGGTCATGGGATTAAGCCCTGTGGCGGGCTCGGTGCTCAGTGTGTAGTCTGCTTGAGGATTCTCTCTCCCTCCCCCTCTTTCCTGCTCTCGCCACACACTCTCTCAAATAAATAAATCTTTAAAAAAATAAAATAAAATACCTAGCAAGATAATCCTAGACTTTCGTATTTAAAAACAACTGGCTTATTGAATGGGAAAGCCTTTCCATTTTTGATGCTGCGGATGGGAATTCAGATTTGCCCCCTTAGATTTGTTTTTACTGTATACAGCAACACAGCCACTCAGAGAGGGCACTCAGTAGGTGATCTGGTCATGGACTTGAGCTCAGCTGAAGCTCCACAATGTCATCCTCCTGGAATCCGTAGCCTAGTTCAGGTGGTTATCTGGAACCTGTCCAGAGCAGCAGCTGCTGTTAAGCAACTCTGCGCGCTTGGACCCGCAGACAAGCTCCCCGGGCTGCCGTTGGTGTCTCAGGGGCTCAGCGCACCGTGACACCTTCTTCAGAAGACTGGGAACATCTTTGGTTTTTTTTTTCCCTTCTTTTTTAGTTTTTTGTTTTAGGAAAATGATGGAGCTCTAGAGGAGCTTGAATGATGTGTATTGGTAAGAGGAAGGCGTTATTTGCTTGGAAAGCACATCTGGCTTTATTTGGCCTCACCCTCGTAAGCAACTGTCCAAATGAACATGGCACATGACAGCCCATGTGCCACAGGCAGACGGTCACTCCTTTCTCGTGGTGTGTCTGGCCTTTTCCCTACCTGGATTCAATTCCCTCAGAGATAAAAGTGGCCATTCAGATCCCACCCTTGTCCTCAGTATGTGACAGGAATTTGTCCCTATCTTTGACGCTCATCAAAGTGAAATAGATATTTCTCAGTCTTCATTCGTCCCGTGGGAAAATCAGGAGAGTGGCTGTGTACATGGGCTGTGTTGGGGAGCGCAGGGAGGAAAGAGCTGGGTGGCACAGAGCCTATGGACCTTTACCCTTCTTCCTCTGGGATGGCTTTTCTTATCAGTGAAGACAGAACACATGTTGTGCTCATGCACACATACACGTGCACACACATGCACACACAGATGCACACATATGTGCACACACGCACACAGACCAGCACAAACACATGCACCCACACAAACACACAGAAGGACGCACATAAACAGATATGCACACATGCAAACAGATGCATATACATGCACACATGCACATGCTCACATACACAGATGGGCACACATGCAAACAGACAGATGCATATACATGCACACATGCACATGCACACACGCACATACTCGCATACACAGATGGGCACACATGCAAACAGATGCATATACATGCACACGCTCGCATACACACATGGGCACACATGCAAACAGACAGATGCATATACATGCACACATGCACATGCACACACACACACACATACTCGCATACACAGATGGGCACACATGCAAACAGATGCATATACATGCACACGCTCGCATACACACATGGGCACACATGCAAACAGACAGATGCATATACATGCACATGCACACACACACACATACTCGCATACACAGATGGGCACACATGCAAACAGACTATACATGCACATGCACACACACACACATACTCGCATACACAGATGGGCACACATGCAAACAGACATGCATATACATGCACACACGCACATGCTCACATACACAGATGGGCACACATGCAAACAGATGCATATACATGCGCACATGCACACACACACACACTCGCATACACAGATGGGCACACATGCAAACAGACAGATGCATATACATGCACACATGCGCATGCACACACACATGCACATGCTCGCATACACAGATGGGCACACATGCAGACAGATGCATATACATGCACACATGCACATGCACACACGCACATGCACACACACATGCGCATGCTCACATACACAGATGGGCACAGATGCATACACACATGCACACATGGATGCACGCACACACGCATGCATATCCAAGTGCGTGAGTGAGAACGCTGTGCCAGCCCAGTGTGTATTAACGCCTTTCTCCGGCGGCACTGTGCCCGGTGAGGTCTGAGGGGCTTGTGGATGGCAGAGGGAATGGCTCTTGCCCTCAGGCTGCTTTTCGCTCCAGCCGCGTCCCCTGTTACAGTCTCTGCTGTGAAAGCAGACAGGTGTATGGCAACGCGGACCTTGGCACATTAGAGAAACCGGGAGAGCTTTTCGGAGACATTTAGGGCTTTGCTGGATGAAGAAGAGGGGAGCGTGTGTTTCCGACTGAGGGAAGTGTTCGTGTATGTTTGGGGACGACTGTCTGGATGCACCTGCAGCTGACATGGGGTGTAGGTATTTAGGGAGGCAGGCAATGGGGCACAGAGAGAAAATGCAGGTGGAAGGGAATCTTGGGCCCAGATGGCGCAAGACCTTGACTCCAACGCTCAGGAGTTTGGGTTTGGTTCTCTCAAAGGTTGGAGCCTTCAAAAGCCTCAACTTCCTAGTCCTTTTTCTTTGTTGTCCTTCTTCCCTTCCGTAAAGCGATACCTTCCACTGCCAAGCTTCCATTCCTTCCACATAAATCCAAACACTTCATCGCATCTTTACAGTCTCCTCTTTTTCTTCTCACTTCATTTCTAGGGTATTTGAAATTTTCATATCTGCTCTCTAAAGCTTTCTAGATGACGGTAAACAAAACGTAGACGTGTATGCCCATTGCAGCATTATTTATAAGGGCAAGGAATGGAACCACCTTAAGTGTCTGTCCTCAGAGGGCTGGCTGAGTGAATTATGACATATCCACATGCCACGTATTATTCAGGTATCGGAAAGAACGCAATAGATTTAGTGACAGGCATGGCAAAGTGTCCTCCGTGTACTGTTAGGTGAACGTATAAAGTGGAGTATGATCATGCCCTGACTTTTCAAATTATTTGTTTCCTTTTATGGGTTCAGAGCTAAAAGGTTGGAAGGAAAGGCACCAAAGGGATCAGCAGGACCTGCTCTGAGGAGGGAACTTGGGGGACGGGACAGAAGGAAAGGAGCACTTCTGTTTTCCACCCCATCCCGCCCTGTCCTTTGCATATTCTAAATCAGCATATGTTAACTTCAGAACAAAAGCTTACAATTGCAAATAAACAGCCGAAGCCTGGTACTTGAACTTCCTCAGCCTCTCTTGTCCTAGGGTCTCAGAACTTTTATTTTGGTTCCTCCAGGGCAAAAGAAATACCTAACCTCTCTGTTTATTAAGTGGTTTGGTCCAAATGACCTGGTAAGAATTTATGTCCTAACGACTCAGTACCTGAGGGAAAAAATGATCCACACAAATGGAAAGAAAGTGAATATTTTTATTTCCGTCTTCCATAACCGCAATGGCGTGCTGATGGGGTGTGTGTGCTTGTTGGGCACCTCACAGCCCCTGAGACCTTGAACCCAAGTGGGACACTACCACCCTTACTTCCCTTCCCGTTCTACCCTGATGTCCTCAAGATACTGGTCTCTTGTCACAGGATCCTCCAAACACCCTCTGTGCTGACATCGAAGGGAAGGCAGTGCAATCTCATGCTGAGAGCCTGAACTGCCTGGAGCTAGTAGTTCACTTCGTGTCTGAACCTGCTGGTGCCGTCAAAAATGTAAAATATATTCCTCAGTAGCCCATGAATTCACTGCAATGCCCTGAAGTGCCTGGGCACACAGTTTGGGAACCACAGACATAAACAACAGGGAGCCTGGTGGACATGGCCTTGCAGTGTCACCTCCTTAGAGTGACTTCAGTAGCTGTTGTTATATTCCTTTGTCCCTTGCAGTGTCTATATTTGAACTGTGGTGCAGATCTTTCTGGAACTTTGGGACCCTTTGTAAGAGCCCTGACTCATGCCTCCTTGATTTAGTTATAAGCCTCCTACTCTTAAATCCCTTAGAGTTTTATTTCCAAGTTACTCTTTTCACTGGAAAATGCTTGCACCCGTTCTGCCAGGCTGGCGTCCCTCAGGAGAGGGCGAGTTTCTGGAGAAGGGAGCCCACGCTTCCTGCGTCTTCAGGGGGATCCCAGATCCCTCACACGGCGCTGGCCCGTTGGGTAGACTCTCAGTCAGGGCCGGCCTCAGCATCGATTGTGAGAAGAACTCTCTTTGGGCTTTTTTGTGTCTTCCAGTATGGCCGAACGCCTCTGCACCTTGCGGCCAACAACGGGATTCTGGATGTGGTCCGCTACCTCTGTCTGGCGGGTGCCAACGTGGAGGCCCTGACCTCGGTGAGTCACCTTCTGGCTGGAGAAAGCCAGAGAAAGCAAGAGAAAACGTCTCAGGCCTCGAGGGCATGAGGCGAAGGGTATCACTTGGCAACTGCATCTCTGCAGACAAGCCAGACAAGCCGTTCTGAAGCTTTGCTCCTGCGCTGCAGCTAGGGAAACAGTTGCCCACACAGAGCCAGGGTGAGGGCTCACTCTGCCGCCTCCCCTGCGCATTTTGTGGCCCGCGCTGCCGTGGCCCACGTTCCACAACAGCGCCTTGGGGTGTGTGGTTAGACATGTGTGTTTTCCTTTCCTCAATGCTCCCCCTCCCCTACAGGGCTCTGGAGGATCCTGGGGTGAGGGTGGGGTGGGGAACCGCTTAGGAGAGCTGTTCTCTCCTGTTTAAGAAATCTGGCTTGGCTCTTAGGCCCGCATAATGATTTTACAGGAGATGCTTCAGTTCCCCTGGCCTCCCCACTCCCCATTCCACACCAGGTACCGCCCTGCTTGATTTACATTTCGGGAAATACCAAAGAGGAAAAATCCGGGGGCTAATGAGATAAGGTAGTCATTTTACTGCTTACAGTGAAATATTATCATTTGACTTGCTTCTGGCCTAATGGTGGGTTGAGTCTCCCACTCTAGTTATGTGGGAGACTCCTGAAACTCACTAGTGCTTTGCTGACATAAAGTGTTTGTCCAAGGAGAGCCATTGGAGTTTTAAAATATGGCAGCCAATTTTGGGAAAATCAGGGCCCTGAGGCTGTAAGGGAGGCCTCATTTCCTGGAGGCATGCGGGGTTGGCAAACTAGGGGCCACAGGCCAAATCCAGCCCGCTGCCTGTTTCTGTAAACAACATTTTATTGGGACCCAGCCATGCTCATTATTTACGTATTTATAGCCACTGCATGCTGTAAGGCGGAGTTGAGCAGTTGCAACAGAGATCCTATGGCCTACAGAGCCCAGAGTATCTACTCTCTGGCCCTTTACAGAAAATGTTTGGTGACCCCTGGTGGAGGACATTGCCTCCCTGAATGCACTGATGTTCCTTTGATGGCTTCTGTCCCCACAAGTACTGGGCCCATTCTCTGTAGTGTTGAGCCCTGAGCTGGGCTTTTCTGCAAGCCCAGGGAATGCCAGCCAGTGCTGTAGATGGGATTGTCCCTTTCTTAGGGCACCTCCCCACCCGTCACAAAACCCCACATGGCCATGCATGGGCTTCTAGGGCTGATGTGCCATTATCAAACCCTGCCCAGCCATGTCTTGGCATTCAATTCAATTACTCCACAGTGCAGGATTTATATGCATTTTTATGAGGAAAAGTATACATATGTGTACATATATATATTTTTTTTTTTTTGTCACAAATGTTGCCTCATAAAAAATAAACTGTCAGGGATGGCTCTGAGGATACCAGATGCTGATTCTGCCAAACCCCACAGTCAGGTTGGGGACAGTAAAACGTGTGGCCCTTGGCCTCTGCTGGGTGGTTGGTGCCACCCCACGACCTCTGCCCTGGGTCCTCTCCCTTTGCCCTTGCCCACAGCAGCTGTTTCCTTACTTCCCGCCAGGGATCTCCCCCTCCAGCCGGCCCTCAGGTGTATCTCCTCGTTCATCCTCTGCTTACGACTGTGCCTCCCTGACACCTGGGAGTCCACTCACCAGCCTCCCTCGTTTCTTTAGTCCCCAAATACTGGGCACATACTGTACACCAGGCTCGGCTGAGACCCAGGAACACAGCGGGGCCTGGGCGGATGAGCTCCCCTCCCTCAGGAAACTTCCAGTCTAACGGGGCTCTTATGAGCCACCGCGGTAAATAAATGTACAGCAGGACCCGATTGGCCCAGCCTCCAAGGCAGGTGCGGTGGAGACGGAGGTCTCACGCTTAGATAGAGCAGGGGCAGCCTCCCAGGTGTCCAGCAGGGGGCGGTATGATCACCAGACCCCGTGCTGCGAGCTGACATCTCCAACAGAGCCATCACACGTGCAGCGGGTGCCATTCTAAATGTTCTAGAAGCCACATCCAAAAAGGAAAAGAAACGAAGAAGTTAATTTCAGGAATATATTTTGTTTAGCACAAATCATGCAAAATGTTATCATTTCGACCTGCAATCAGTATTTTAAAACTATTGAGATATTTCCCATTCTTCGGTTTGTACTGTCTTGGAAATGCGGTGTGTGTTTTACACCCACAGGCATCAACCTGGGCCACCTTTCAACCACCGAGTAGCCACGGGTGGGGAGGGGCCGCCTCCTTACTACCCGCCCCTTTCCTGTGCTGTTCTCCCTGCCGCCTGAGAGGACCGAGTCCCGCGTCCTGAACCCCAGCTCGCGACCCTGCGGCGCCCCCTAGCGGTCGCTTGCCGTCCCATTCTGGTCTCAGCCCCAATTACTTGGAAAAGCCTCTGAAAGTCCTGCTCTCTTTTTCCTGGACTGCCACCCCCTCTGCCTCCGCACAGTCCCTCCTGGACGCTTTGCTCTCTGCCAAGTCTCCAGTCACCTCTTGGTAGCTCTTGCCTTCAAGACTTTTTTATAATAAGATAAAACACAGATTTTTTTTTTTTACAAAGCACATGAACAAAAGTAAAGCTCACTGAATTATTATAAGATCGGCACCTTTATAACTCACTCAAAGGTCAAGAAATAGAATTTTCGAGGTCACCCCAAAAGCCCCCGGAGCCTGACTCAGTCGCTGCATCTCCTTCCGCCCAGTGTAACCCCGCTCTGACTTTTGGGGTAACCATGCCCCTGCCTGTCTTCATTGTCCCCCACACCTAAGAGGCAGCAGCTTTTCCGAATCCTGGTGCATTAGCTGTCTCTCCAGGACTTGCATTTCCTGCCCCTCCCTCCTGCCTCTGGGTAAGAAAACCCACGTGGTCCTGCCTCTCCTCCTGCCTCTGCTCACCTCCTCCAGCCCCATGTCCATCCTGGTGTCCTCCCACCCTCCGCCCTTGCCCTCTGACCACCGTGGCCTGCGGCTGCCCCTGGCCTCAGGCCGCCCACGTCCTTGGCTCCAACCCCGCTTGCCCCGGAGCGCCCCCTCGCATGCCCTCCAGTGGGCGCCAGCTTCAGAGGGCCAGACCTCCACGTTCATCCTCACCCTCCTCCCCGACCTTCTCTGTCAGTGTCAGACCTCTGCAGAGTCGCCAGGTCCAGGGACGGAGAAGCTCTGCTTGCCTCTCCCCTGCATCCTCCTGGGGGCCTCGTCCCAGATTCTTCTTGGTCTCATAGCACCCTGGCCTCTGCCTGGTTAAGGACCTCAGTGTGTGTTCCTCCCAGGACCAGCTCAGCCTCAGATCTGGTCCCTTGATTGTAGCCGTGGCCTTCCCGACGGTTCCATTCCATCACCACATCTATGGTTCTGGAAAAGCCGATGAACTCCAACCTCCGCTGCCTGGCACCCTCTGTGCCCAGCCTTACCCTTCACCCCAGTCCCCCTCAGCTATACCTGGCAGAAGAGAGCTCTTTGAAGGTCCTGGGAAGCCCTTCGCTGGCGCCCAGCTCACCGAATTGGCATATGCTCTTCTTCTGTCTGGAGTCTCCTCTGTTTCTCCTCCCCTCCCCTGCACAGAGTGCCTGCACGTACACACCCCTGCCCTAAGACATGATGTGTTCCTTCCTTCCATGTGAGAGGCTTTTAATGCCTAATAGCAGGCACCCAGGCACATAGTCACAGATGACATTAGTGGCAGGAGGATTCTGGAACACTAGCTCCTTCTCATCTTTCAGTATTCGGCTGGAGCCCCAGACAGCCTCCTCTTTCTCAGCCCCCTCTAGCAGTTATGATTTGTTCCCCTTTCTTGCTCTGTTGGAATTGACTGCTGATCCCCCATGAGGCTGTGAGCCCTTGGCCATGATCATGTGCAATTTGTAACTGGTTTCCTGGCTTCTAACCTCACCTGCCCAGTCTGTTCCTCAGGCAGCAGCTTGTGTGACTCCATTGAAATATAAGTCAGATCATGTCCCTCCTCCGCTCAGACCCTCCATCAAGTTAGAAGTCCTTAGGAGGGGGGCTCCCTTAAAGATTGGCCCCTCACATTGCCTACCTGACCCCATCTCTTACTCCATCTCTTCCCTTTGACCCCCCCGCCCCCGCACCACATGAGCTATATGAGCTTCTTTGAAACTGTTCAAACATGACAGTCATCTTGCTGCCTCAGGGCCTTTGCACTTGCCTTTCTTCACAGGTATCCAAATGGCTTGCTTTCTCTTCTCCTTCAGGTTTTGACTCATACATCATCTTTTCAATGAGGCCCTCCCAGACCATTGTTTGTAACCAGGACACTGCGTGTCGGAATTGCTTGTGGGAATTAGCACCTGGCTCAGGGGCACAGGGTAGGGCAAGGCCAGAATGCAAACATCCAGCTCCCACCCCGTTCCCTCCTAGAAACGCAGGGAGTTTGGGGAAATTCTTAGCTCTTTTATTAGTAATTATTGCTGCCTCCTTTTTCCACGACCAGGACACTGTTGGTTCTTTTCATTTGGTGTTCCCTAATCTGCTTCAAGTCCCTGTGTGGTGAGGGCCCCGGTTTCCACCTTACAGATGAAGCCCAGGTTCCAGGAGGCCCAGTGACTGACCACACAGCTGGTGAGGGGCAGATTCAGGACGTAAACCTCGTCCTTCTGATTCCAAAGGTCAAACTTTCCATGACACTGGCAGGCCTTTCTTTTGGGAGCCTGAGTAGTGTCTCTTAGGGCCAAGTGTTTTGCAAACTGTAAATTGCTGCATAACTGTAGGACATTTGGTTGATGGTGGTTTTCCTGTCATTTGAAAGGCTCTATAATGGATAGTAACCTTTGTCACTGAGGGTCCTCTGCCCGTGTAACGTGCCGATCCCGGGTCTCCGAGAGAAATGCTGTGGCCAGAAGACCCCAAAAGACAGACACTTTAGTCAAGGCTCAGATTTCTTCCAACCAGGACAGTGGTCCCCAAACTTGGCTGCACGCCGGAATCACCGGGAGCGCTTACAACCGCAGTGTCCGGGCCGCGCCCAGACTCAGGGAAGCAGAGCATCCGGAAGGGAGTGGGCGCGTGCAGCCTGCGGGAGATCTTAGAGACCCCGGGGTTCCAGTGTGCGGGGAGGTTTGGGAATGGCTAACCTGAGGCCTTTTCTTACCATGTCAGTAAGGATCCAGGCAGTTTGGCACGAATCCCTGGTTGGGGTGTGGTGTCTGACAAGATCCCTGATTCTCCCCAGAGCAAGCTAGAAGCCCTCCCCTGCCCCCTGGAGACATCTGGGGACCCTAAGAGAGAGTGAGATGGGCAGCATGACTGTAAAGCCTCCTCCCCGGAGCGCTCACGTGAGCTTCCAGCTTCAGCCTAAGGCAGCGGTTCTCCGCTGGGGTGATTTCGCACCACCCAGGGAACACTTGGCAGTGTCTGAAGACACTTTGAGTTGTCACGAGTTGGGGAAGGCGATCCTTGCAGAGACCAGAGAGGGATGCACTCATCACCCTGCCGTGCACGGGACAGCCCCTCACAGTAGAGAATTATCTGGTCCAAAATGTCAACAGTGCCGATGTTGAGAAACACTGGTCTCAGGAAACCCCACGCATGGCTCGGATGATGACTTGAGTGGAGAGGTTGGAAGCTGTGCTGTTAATCAGACTCGGGCATCTCTGAGCTTCCACGGGAATGGAGCTTTAACTGGTACTGATAAACCCTGAGTGAGAGATGGATCCAAAATGCTTCTTAATCTTCTTGAAAAGAGATTGCTTTTATTTGCATGGAAATTGCTTCTCGCCTTTTCTACTTCAAGTTTGTAATGACTTTAAAACTGTTGCAGAACAGTCCCTAAGCCTCTGTTTCCTCCTTGGTGGCACATGAACAGCCATAGTCCCCACCTCCCCCAAGGGGCTCTGAGGGTTCATGTGCACAAAGCACAGACAACTGGACCAGGTGCATGAGATTAGGAGGTACCCAATACGTGTTAGCCAGGCACAGAAATGGAAATGAATTTGCTCACTGTGAAACTGCAGCCTTATGAAAATTCTCCAATTAAAAGGTGCTGTGAACTCTGATTTCCTCCTCTTATTATTCACTGAAAATCTTTAGATCAAAATTGTCGGTAAAACTAAGGCTTTTCTTTGAAATGCACAGTAATTACCAGTAACTAGCCTCCTATATGAGTGCTCAGGTTTGTCCATGGAAGGATTTGAAGACATTAGCTAGCACTAACTAGAATTTGGCATCTATGAAAGTCTTCATTGTCTGGTTTATTGGAGAGAGGTTCAGCATTTGGGGTAATCCTCCCACCAACGAGGTGCCAGGTGTGATGAAAGTCTGTGGGTCTGAGACGTCTCACCGATGGAGTTCAACACACCAGGGCACAATTGTTTTCTAATTCTCACCTTCCTTCCCTGGGCAACCAATAAGGAAATGAAATAAGGACTGTGCAGAAAGAAAAAGAATCCAGGACCCTCTGTCCACCTTTTTTGTTTCTAAGGCCTGTTAACTCTTGTTTCTGCCTCTGACAGCAGAACCAGTGCATGGAACAAACAGCTCTCCTGTGAAGGAAAGACACTAATCATTGTTCTCCAACAGGATGGGAAGACAGCAGAAGAGCTTGCTAAATCAGAACAGCACGAACATGTAGCAGGTCTGCTTGCAAGACTCCGAAAGGTGAGAAATTCCTTTTATCAGTCTGAAATTCTCTGTTTTCTATGAAAACGTCTGTTTTTTTTTTCTGGTAAACAATGAGATGAACAAAATGAGGCTTTGGACACACAGGCTGTAGGAAGGGCATCTCTCCCTGCCCTGTGGTTTGCATACAGTTGGCGTAAATGCATCAGCTACCTATCAGTTTCTTCTTCTGTGTTTGGACTTGGAAATCATTTGGCCTCCTTACAGTTTCTGTGCCTGGTTTCCCTCCTCCCACCCCTTCTGTAATAACTCTTCCCATAAAGTAGACAGGAAATGAGAAAGCTGACTGCTTCTTTTTTTTTTTTTTTTTTTTTTTAAAGATTTTATTTATTTATTTGAGAGAGAGAGAATGAGAGATAGAGAGCACGAGAGGGAAGAGGGTCAGAGGGAGAAGCAGACTCCTTGCTGAGCAGGGAGCCCAATGTGGGACTCAATCCCGGGACTCCAGGATTGTGACCTGAGCCGAAGGCCGTCGCTTAATCAGCTGAGCCACCCAGGCGTCCCTGCTTCTTTCTTTCTTAATGTTTTGCGCTCCAAGACATCACACGATATGCTCTGGTCTAGGAAACACTGTTGCTCTAAGGTTTAAGGACACAGGACAAAAGTAAATGCATCATAACAGTGTGTATCAGGAGTCTTCAAAACAGTCACACCCTTTAAGGTAGGAACTCCATGTCTAGGACTCTATCCTAAAGAAATGAAAAAAATGCAGGAAATAGTGTTTAATGCACACAGATGTTCATTGCAGTGTTATTTATAATACAGTAATAAAAATCAGAAACACCAGATGAGCAACAATAATGTCTAGCAAATTGCTGTACATCTATAGGATAGAACTGTTTTTGACCACTAAAATATTTCTGAAGAGGTTTTAGCAAGAAGAGTTTAATGCTTAGGATATTCTAGGGCTTCAAAGCAGAAGATAAATTATATATACGTACATTATAATCCCGCCTGTGTTTTTAAAAAGTGCATAAAAAGAAAATATTAACAGCGGTGTTTTGGGACTTTGCTAGTGTAATTTCCTGCATTTAACACGACTGCATTTTTTCCAAGTTCTGTACTATGCACGTGAGCCTCCTGCAACAGAGGTTTGAACTCTGCAGGTCTGCCTCTATGCAAATATTTTTCAATAAGGACAGTACAGTGCTGTAAACCTATTGTCTCTTCCTTCTGATTTTCTTACTAATGTTTCCTTTTCTCTGACTTACCTGAATATAAGAATACAGTCTATAGTCCATATCAACATACAAAATACGTGTTAATCGCCTGTTTATGTTATCGGGAAGGCTTCTGGTCAACAGTAGATTGTTAGTAGTCAAGTTTTGGGGGAGTCAGAGATACATCTGGATTTTCAACTGCATAGGGGTTCAACACTCATAATGCCTGCATTGTTCAAGGACCATAATCATGTAACAATTTTTCAAAAACAAACTTTCGAGAAATAAAAATACAATCCAGTTGATTACAGTGCTTAGTGGAAAGGCACTGTCCAAAATCAGCTCGAGGTATCCCACAGAGGTCCCGCCATATAAACTGGAAAGTGCCCTGGGAGGGATGATCACCTCTTAACCTCCCCAGCTACAGAGAGTCTGAATTTTCCTAGTGGTCCCAGGGTCTGGCTGTGGTGGGGGAGGGGACGTGGGTGGGAGTAGGTGCTTTCCCAGTGCCTGGAGTTGAGCTGGGAGATAATGTATCTTCACACCTTTGTGATTCGGAGTCTACGCACTGGCCACAAAGGCAGGGATTCAATGTGCCCTTCCTTCCGGAAATTCCAGAAAGAGAACAGGCTGGAAAAAATGTCCCTCGCCTTACACACACATTCTTGCAGGGAATGTGTGCATTCGCTGTGGACTTGGTGTTCTCCCCCTCTTCACCGCCGCGCACTCTCACTGTGGAGGAGAATTTGGATGAGAAAAACAAGGGGGAAGTGTTTTTGTTTACAAGCAACATGAGAGGGGGCGGAGCCTGAGAGTCACTGTCAGCAAATCAACAAGGAACTTTCACATAAAATCTCCTAATCTTTAAATTCTCTTATCTTGAAGCAGTACGTCTGCCAGCACATGGAAGAATGGAGCAGTCTTTGGGTGGATTTTATAGCAAGGTGCCCTGCATTTGAGGGCAGAGCCTTATGGTTATTTTATTTTATTTAGTTTATTTATTTATTTATTTGAGAGAGAGAATGCTCATGTGAGCAGAGGGAAGGGCAGAGGGAGGAGAGAAGCAGACTCGCTGCTGAGTGTGGAGTCTGATGGGGGGGAGGGGGCTCTATCTCAAGACCCTGGGATCATGACCTGTGCCAAAATCAAGAGTCAGACATTTAACCAACTGAGGCACCCAGGTGCCCCCATAGAGCCTTATGTTTATAGGCTACATGTCACATATATAAGGGCAGTTTTAAGTCAATTACTCGTGATAGTGTCCACCTACAGTGAAAAGAACCTGACATCAAATCTGGCCTTCCCGACGGCTCGATGAGGATGCAGTTTTTCTGTTATTAGTCCACTGGGGGAGGGAGCGATTTCATGAGGCTGAACACCTTACGAGTGGACACACATGCTGGGTCAGGGATTCTCGGGTTTCTCACATTCCACAGAGGACGACTGTGACCCACATCCCACTCGGTGCCACCACCCGAATCTGAGCCCCAGGGTCACCCCTGCTGTGTGTGTGGGCTCAGCAGTCCCAACCAGCATGCTTCTCACAATGAAGCATCTGGCAGATCTTTCTTGGCTCGGAGTGCTGCTCACCATCTCAGAGACTTCTCACAGAACCCTGATCCTGGGAAGGTGAAGCCACTCATTTTTAAGCAGAAATCAATGGCAGACTGTGGGCCCCACTCGTCTGATGGGTCACCGGGGAAACATCATCCTTGGGCAGAATGACACAGCTTTTCCTTAGGCTGTGCTGTGTTTATCTGCCTGTCTTCCCCTCAGGAGAGGTCCATTCTTTTATTTAAAAGTGGATTTGACAGGCTGGCTGCAAAGCCAGTGTCATTGCATGGTGGGTCTGAAACAGTAAAGCCCAGACAGACGACAGGAAGGACAGGCCCTGATGTGACAGCCAAGGTGGGATCAGATTGATGGGGTTAAAGGTGCTTTCTCCCTTCATCTGATCCCAGATTCCCTGCCCTGTGCTTGTGTTGCTTTTGTAATTGGAAATACAAACACCAGAGAAGCTTGTGTGGTGCTACTCTGACCCCCTGCGCCCAGGGGAGGTGGCTAGCTGTTTTCCAGTCGAGAATCTTTAAATTGAGGTATGTGGGCTCTTGCACTGTCCCAGTTTCAGATTTCCTTTATTCTCTCTCACCGATTGGCAACTTTGTGTTTTGGTGCCTAGATTTTTAAAAGAAGGATGGGAGAGAGAATATTCCAGTGTCTAGTATTAAACCATTATCCTGGGATTGTTCTCTAAGGAAAGATCAAGGCAAAGAAAAATCATTTTAATTCCTGTGAGCAAAGGACATCATTCCTGTTGGTGCCTCGAATCCACAGAAAGATTCCTCTCTCATCTTTGCTTTGAGAGGCAAAATATAAAGTGATGGCTGAGTGCACAGACTCGGGAGTCAGATGGCTCTGGCTCAAATCCCAGTGCTGCTACTGTCTAGCAGCTCCGTGCCTCAGTTTCCTGTTTCTCAAAGGGCGTGATTATAGTGCTCCCTTATAGTATGGCGGTGATGTAAATGATGTCTTTAGAACAGTGTCTGCACGCAGTAAGCACCCTGTGTTGGCTCTTGTTGGAATCCTGCAAACCACTCCCAGAGTCCTGGGGAAACAAAGATTTCCCTGTGGTCCGGCGCCCGGGAGCAGATTTGGGCATGCCCACAAGGCCCCGGGCAGCTGTGGCAGGGCACCCTGGAGAGCCATGGTTAGCAACAGCCATCATTCAGTCGTCGATGGCAGATGCTGTCATTTTACAACATCCCGAAGATGGAGCTGGTTCTGCAGGAAAGCCGGACTGCCTGAGGCTAAGCAGATGCGAATTAGCGCAGCGCCCAGATTCAGTCCTGAAATAGAAATGCCTGCCTCCTGGGCCCTTCAGTGGGCTCAGGGCGTCCGTGCTGATTCCTCCCCAGCCATGGGCAGGGGAGTCCTTCCCCGGAGCTGGGCTCACTGGCTGTGTGGTGAGCCCCGATCTCCTTCCTGGGCTCACCAGGGCCTGCTCCGTTCGGGAGAAGCTCCTGAGACCCACGAGTTTGTTTGCCTCAGTCGTTCCCTCGAGGGCTGTTGCAGTCACATCACGGGGCGGAGGAGAGTGATCACAACCAGTGAGGACGGAGAGGGGAAAGGAAGAAGGCAGTTTCTACTTAGGAGCATCTGGTCCCCATGTCCTTCCCATGTCGTTTCCTCCTTGATGTTCCCCCTGTTTCTCTCGAGGATGGGGCAGGCATTTTGGGGTGGATGGGACTTCCTCTTCTTGCAGGCCTTGTGGACCCCCCAAGCAGCTCATGTCATAGCACCCCCTCTCCCACTCATTGTGAAGTCAGAAACTGTTCTTACATATTTCCTGACACCCCTGGGGGAGTCATCCTCTGTTAGACCCCCTTATGTGGATCCTGAACACATTCCTGGGGAGAAGTCTGTGTTTGTAGAGTGGGGTGGGGGGAACCTTAAATTGCCTTGTCATTCCATAGGTTTGCAAGTGGGCTAGATTAGCAACAGAAACGCTGCCTTGTTTTCACCTCTAATCAGTTGAGGAGCCTGGGAACTTATTTTTAAAGAAGGTGCTCTAGAGAAGCCATGGGACTTGCTGTTTCAGAAATACAACCGCAGTCATCTCATTGACCTGCAGGGGGCAGCAGAGCACTGGCCAGAGCAGAGGGAGCGGCTCCTTGGGTCCTTAGCACTGGGGGCTGACCTTGGGGAGCGGAGACCTTGCAGCCAGGGCCTCTGGGCAGGGTGGGGTGAGGGTGGCCAAAGCCAGAACTTGTGGGGGCAGGAAGAACACGGGGCAGGCCTGAGCTGGGCAAGGTCTGCTCT